TCTGCCCAGTCCAGAATCTTCTTGCTCGCCTCATTCATCAAGAACTCTAAGGTGGAAATATAAGACTAAGGTGAGGACCAAAGTCTTCATCAAGGCAATTTGTAAAACTCCCTACATTTCTTATATCACTGCTGTTTTGGTAAGTAGGAATGGTTCAACCAGCTAGCAAAATGTGAGGAAGCTCGGTGACTTTGGTGGGTTCCAAATAGTGATAAAATGCACACACACTCAGTGACGGATCTCGTGCGAAGTCATACAAAATGGTTAAATCTATTCTAAATTCGGGATGATTACTTAAGTACAAGTGTAGTATTTATTACCCTGGAGCATAATCTCAAGATAGTTCAGACACTCCTGGCTTCCGACTTTTAAAGGAACGTCTTAACGGTCTACTGAAATAAACCTCGTTGGAGATAAAATTACTACTTCATTAACGTGCATTTTTTTCTCTAGGTGTCCGATGCCCTTACAAATTCAAATATATTTTGTGAAAAACCTAAGCGAAAATACCTCTTCGTCTACTTACTTATTAGCAAAGCACGTCTTTCTCAAATTTTATTATCAAAGAATGGGTATTTTAGGTCTTAAAACACTTTTTCAGTTCCTGAATAGTTGCACCTACAAACTATATGCCTTCTATGGAAGGAATATTGTACAGCCCTGCATGATATTACGAAAATAATATAATTACTCTTTTAATTTTGCAAGGAGGGCAATTAATAAATGAACGGGTAGAATGCGATTTGAATGGACTCTGTGGACTCTTAAGTGGTTTCGCAAATATAAGCATCTTTTAAAACTTAAAGATAACCATCCTTAAAGATACCAATCATTTTAAGTAAGCATTACTTGCTATCGAATGAGTACAAGAAAGCATACTTTAACTTACTGTTTCTATAAAAGATGCATATATAAATAGTCACTTTCTATCGAGTGAGGTTTTCTCTGGAGGCTGAAGAGAAGTTCGTTTAAAATCCAGAAATCTAATGTGTCTGAAATATTTTGGAATTACGCTTTAACATAATGAATATTGCAACACCATTTAAGTAATCGTTGCAAAATTATAATAAGTTTGAAAATTTTTGTTGAACTTGTGTGAGATCGGTCACTGACTGTAAAACTTTTCTGCACACTTTTTGTAAAAAATTTTCAGGCTTGCGGCTTGGCACTCCGCGGATCGTTTTACTTTAAATCCGGAAGTCATGACGTAGAGCGCTACTTTCTACGGTGGAAGCTCTTTAACCTGCTTTGATACTTAGACTTTAACTTTGGAGAACTGAACTTTGAGGAATGATTTCAGGTTCCCCCAATATTAACATGTACTTTACTTGCCTTTATAGACAAAGAAACGACTAGAAATGAGGGTGAGAAAAATTATTTAATGTTCAGTACGACTAATGGCCTTACCCCTGCAGCCTGGAGAGTAACCTACCTGTCTGAGAATGGCTCAGAGCTAAAATGGCATCTTGAGTATTCTGAACCAGTTCGTCCCAATGCAAACGTAGTTTTTCGGTGCGCTCGTTTACTGGAGGTTCCAGGTGGGCGTACTCATCAACTAGCTGACGTCCATGCTGATAATGGAAGAGAAAAAAAAGCTGTTATAGAGCCTCCAAAAAGTCACTTCAGAGTGATCTCATGGGGACTTTCTAGGGGGCAACTTTTATCAAGTCCTAGACTATATAAGAGTATGCTTTTATTTCGGAGTAATCAAACTTGGCAGCGCGATATTCCTCGAGTAGATATAAGCTTGTCTGTATAGTAAATGAACTTTCGCTAGAAAGAGTCAAATCCAAATATTTTTCAGGCCCATCCCACACGAAATGCACCGCAAGTCGCATGAAACAGAGCAGGACTACATTTTTATATAAATACAATAGGAAGTCCGTCGAAGTTTTTCTTGCTTCGAACAGATGGAATAAGGTATTACCATCCGGCAATTATGGTAATGTAAAAAGTGTCAGCATTTAGGTATCGGACCTTTGAGCATACGAATATTATTTTGTCGTAGGCGTAAAGCATTAAAACGCTTATGTTCTCCGAAAGTCCAAGCATTCAAACATCTCCGCTTGTCAAAATCACCGACGCGGTCCTTTTCGGGTGGAGTTAGGGCACGCGCGTGTCGCGGGCGTGGTCCTTCAACAATCTGACTAACTGAGGCAAAGTTTAAATTCCGCATACTATATAATTATAGTTTTACTGAAAATATTAAGGAGGTTTGGCAGATTTGCTTAATTTAAGTTGGCCCAATTGTGAAAAAACTCGCGGCGTTCGGTGGGATTTGAATCAGCATAATAGTGCCAAACCTCCTTTATAACAAGTCAACCTAGTAGTCATTCTGGTGGATTCTAGATGATTGCTTGGGAAATCCTGCTTGGGTAGTCAGCTTGCTGTTCCGTATTGGTGGATTCCATACAAGCGGTAAAGTTGGACGGGTAAAATCGATCGAAATGTGATTAAATTCACAGCGCAAAGCGTGGCCTTTGTAGCTCAACTGGTGGAGCATTGGCTTCGCGTTAAGGCCTGCCCTACTATGCGGGTTCAAATCCTGCCAAACGCCACGAGTTTTTTTCACAATTGGGTCAGTTTAAATTACTGAAAATAGCTTGCACTAACCAAAGGAGCCCCTTAAAGTCAGTCTTCTCGTAGTGATAATCGTTGACCTCTGATACAGATGAAATATTGGTTTTGAAACCCAGTAGGTCTGCCTACCATCCCTACTATCAGAGGGCCGGGTTCGCCTCCCCCAAGAGGCTAAACAGACTGGCCTGCACTCGTAGCAATAAAAGTAATAGCCCAGTCTAGCTGCAGGGAGCAGGTCGGTGTGAGGGAAGAAACATTAACTAAATCTCAGTTTTTGATGGTAAACTGGTCCACCAATTGGTCCGCATCCATAGACCGTGTGCGTTGTGTGCATGTTCAGCAGGTTGTATCTGGGCTTAGCTACCAGAGGGGTCTACTTCTGGCTAAGGAAGATGTGAAAAAGTCTGGAGTTAGCTACTGTCCAATTCTAATCTCACCTTCCC